AAAAGTATTAACATCATATATTACCCTCAGGAAAAAAGAAAATGGAAAATACAGAAAGGGCCAATTTTAATTCCGGATTTGCAGGAAACTAGTCTTTTCCCATCTGGTAAGGAAAGGGTTGAAAGAAAGCCCCACAGAGGCTTGAGGATGCCAAGTGCAGATGCAGCTCCTTGTGGTCTTTGATTTATTAGAAAATCTTTGTAAAGTAAGGCTGTAAAACTTCAGACCTCTGCAAACACGAGGCATTGGCCAAGCTGTTGCCTAAGCAGTAAGGGGTGGTGAGTGTTCAGCCTTCCTCTAACAGATGAGGATCTTTGGCTGCAGGTTAACCTAGGCAGCAATGTGCAGTCCCTGGTAATGAGCTCTTACCAACTTGGTGAGACATCCCAGGAGCTGGGTGAGTCTGGGGGCGGCTCTTGTTTGAGGTGTTCCCAGTGCCTCCATTCTGGCCATCTTTTACAATTTTGCCAGTTCTTTGTTAAAGGCTGATAACACCTCTGTCAGTGGCTGCTCTCCCTCACCGAGCTGTTACATTCCTTTTCTTATCCCTTTGTTCCTTTCAGGGAGTTCTGATTCACACAGGGGCAGCTGCCTCTCACACTCTCTGCTCTACGTTCATATGGTGACTTTTGTGTTACTCTGGGTGTGTCTATGGCACAGACCTTTTACACCTGAGCTACTTGTCAAACCCCTCTTTAAAATCAGTAGAGCAAAGGAGGCGTTCCTAGGAGGCAATTCATTTTGTGCTAAAGCTGTCAACTAATCTAAGTCAGATGAATTTTGTTTCTCTTCCTTACGGGGTCCAGAAGACCTAGCAGTAAATGTCTGTGGTGTAGACAGCTATAGTTAGGAGAGAGAAATCACTCACTATACGAGATGTATGGTGACAGAGCACTTCCAGCCCTGATGATCGCCCTGTGCAGGGCAGGACTTGTATTACGCTTAGGACTAACCTGAGAGCAAAAGTTAAGACCCTTCAAGTACGGGATGTCTGCACTGGTTAATTCATTTTTTTAAATATCCAGCACTGAACTGAGGTTGAAAACAGACACCTTCCTGAGCTCTGACCAAGAGTATCCATCAGGTAGGGCCTAGATATGAGCTCAGACACTCAGTTCAGTTTACGTCTGTGCCAGTTAACAGCAGTCTGTGTACAATTCAGACCTTGCCCTGCCTATGCAGTGGCTCATCTAAGTTGTCTGGAACCAATCGATTCTTGTGGCTGCTGGAAAGCTGTTGCCTTTCCTTTCTCCAGCAGTTACAAGGACACAGACCTAAAGTTAGTTGTGAAACTCCTCTTGGTGCTTAGTGGCCCTGGAATGTTAGCTGTGAATTCTGACAGAAAGGGCAGATGTAAAGGAGTAAACAAACAGAAAACTGCTTTCCTATAGAGCAGGTTCTGATGGTACTGTAAGGAGAAACGGAGGAAACTCCGACAAAAGCGGAGAGAGTTATTTGCAGCTCACAGTCCTCAGTACTTTTTTGCTCAAGCAGGGAGATGCTAATGCATAAAACTGCGTATTTCTGAGATACAAAGCCAGATCGGTCAATACATTTGCCTCTAAGTTTTGCAGGTCAAAACCTGCGTGAGTTCTTGCAGTGGGAGTGCAGGTTTTGTATTGCACTGCCCGAAATGGCCTTCACTTCACATTACAGAATCATCCGAGTCTATTTCAGTACGCCGCTGCCTCCGCCAGCATGTGTCAGCTCAGCCTTCCTGCGTGGCATTTAGGAGGTGCTCAGTGAATCCTGATGACACGCAGCCCTCCTGAGCAGGAGGCATGGAGAGGCAGCGGGGGCGCAGCACACTGCGCTATAAATAGCGCTGGTGGTCATTTTCTTTTTAATCTTGCAAGAGGTGGTACTGAAGCTAAGAGAAGATGCAGCGCTGCTAAACACCTTTTGACTGCCCTCCGGTCAGGCGTTGGCAGGACAAGTTGTCACAGGCATATTAGGAGCAGGCAGGGAAAGCGTGCCAGAAGAAAGAAAGCGTTCTGGTGGTTTAACTGGGGCTTTGCTCTAGCAGTGAGACCCTGAGGTCATGGATAGCCACTGTCTCCTGCCGTACAGCTAGGCAGGAGCTAAGGCTGATGCTTTCTCTTTTCAGGAAAACAGTAAGGTGCAGGCTTCCCAGGGCTCTGACAACAGCCCCACCTGGCTGAGCATTAAAGGTTACATTACCCATTTCGGGCTCTCCTGGCCAACTTTCCGCATGGAAAGTAGAAGTGGTAGACAGGTGCTTGTCCAAAGGGCACAGCGAAGGACTCCTCTTTGAGCAGCTGTTGTCTTTCATTAAACCTAAACAGGTGTGGGGGAAAAGGCCGGGCTAAAGAATTTTTGCCTCGTCACAGGAGGCTGTTACATCATTTGAACCCACGCCAAGTTTCGTGGGGGTATTGAGTTTGTAAGAAAGAGGATTGGGCTTGTGAGGAAAGAAGAGAACAAGATATAGAAGGAAAGGACAATGTTTTGTTTTGTTAAAAAAAAAAAAAATCTTAATTATTCACTGGAGAAGTATGTTTCAGCCATGGAGTTAATTGTACCTGATTGCTGTCTCTGATTTATTGAAAGGTCAAGGCATTCTGACATGCTTTGAGCTGGTTACCTGTCAGTAACATCAAAAATAGCACAGTTAATGCTTAGAAAAATATTTTTCACAGTGTACGTTGTTCCTCTGTTGATTATTGATACTTTGAACACTCTGATAAGTCTGAATGCTAAAAGGCAATGACCTCACTTACTCGTTTCTAGGAAAAATATTGAACATCCACCCGTCCCTGCTGCCTTCTTTCAAGGGAGCAAATGCCCACAAATTGGTGTTAGAAGCTGGCGTCCGAGTCACAGGCTGTACAGTACACTTCGTAGCTGTAAGTACTTCCTTCCTCCACGCTTCATCATTCACAGGTCTTAAGATTTCTATCTTAGAGCTTGTTTAGAAAACCCTTACAGCGTCACGCTGGTTTTTTTGTAGTTTGTTGTCCCTGGAGAAGGAACTGGAACTGAATACAGGAGTTAAAGCTTTACCTAAGATAACTTCATTAAGTATTTCACTGCTGCCATTCCATCAGCTGCAGTGGGGTTACTAGTTCATATAATGCCTTGACTAACCCCAGAATCTTTGTTTTACACAATATTATCTTCTTAGATTTTAGCATACAGCCTTCTTTATTTGTTGCTTTCAAGAAAAAAAGAACAACACAAATGGCACGGGAAGTCTAGATTTGTTAAGAAGTAATCCCATGTTTGCGTGAACAGAGAAAAACTTCACAATTTCTATAAGTCCAAAACTATGAAAACAAAAGCCCAAAGATCTCTCAACAGGGAAGATGTACATGTTTATCAGTTTAGGGAGGTTTTTTCCATCTTTTTTTCATTCTCAGGGTTAACAGTAACTATTCTCTAGTCCTCTACTGCATTCTTCAGATTATCCTCTGCTTTTCCACTGCTCCTGAAATCTGTTTTCCCATTTGCTTTCCCTTGGAAAATGAAAAACTGTTTTTTCCAGTCAGAAAAAATGCATTCCTTTCTGCAAAACATGACCATTGCTTTCTGTGTGGCAGCGTCCTGAGAAACAATAACTGAACAGCAGGGATCTGCCTCGTTAACATGCACAAGAAAGATCTGCTGGGTCTTCTAGTCCAGCTCTGTGCCAAAGCTGGCTAATTCACTTTTCTGAATTGAAATGTTGTAATTTTGTCCAATTTAGCCTATCATGTCCTCAGTTAACATGGCTTTTGTTTTCTGCAGCAGAAACATTACTCAGCACCTCTTTTTCTTTGAAACCTACGCTTCTGATAGTTCCTCACAGGCCAGTGTGTGTGTGTCAGCATCTTTTCTGCATTCCTCATGTTAGCCTATTTTCACGTTTCCTGTAATAACGTAATGATAAACAGATCCCTGAGGCATCTGGATCATGTTAATTGCTACACATCCATGCCTCCCTCTCTCTCTCCTCCTCCAACCGTACAGACTCTGGCTGTTGCTTTTGCAGGAGGAGGTTGATGCTGGAGCAATCATTTTCCAGGAGGCAGTTCCTGTTAAGGTCGGTGACACAGTGGAGACCCTGTCTGAACGGGTGAAGGAGGCTGAGCACCGAGCCTTCCCAGCTGCCCTGCAGCTTGTCGCCAGCGGGGCTGTACAGGTGGGGGACGCTGGCAAGATCTGCTGGAAGTAAGAGCAGCAAGTCCACGGAGCTCCTCGGGTGGTACAGCTGAGGTGCATTAAGTGATCAAAACAGAGGTCACAGTCTAATAACCTGCATTTACTTTCACAAAGTGTTTTCTGCAAAGGATTTACCATTTCATGCACTCAGTCAAGTGGCTAAAGATTCAATGTAAAATCCAGAGAAAGCCACAAATGGTTATGTTACGACAGGGGGCTGTTCTCAGTAGTTCCAGCTGCAGCTCTATTACATGCTTCCTATTTACGGTCACTTCCTTGGTCAACATTTCAGTTATCAATCACTTTCTTCACAAAAAAAAAAGAAGAAAAAAAAGAAAAAAAAAGAAAAAAAAACCCACACATTTCTTGGTTAGAAACATCTAAACATCTGATCTGAGATTGACTTAAACATCACTTTCTCTCCAAACAGACCATACAGACGGTAACAGGGGATTCTCTTGTCACGTGTTGTAAAGTGTCTGTAGGGATAAGTAACGGCAGGTAGTAAACTGGAAGTGATGGCCGTAGGCAAAGACTCGACTCATAAAAATATATAGCCAAAATATATAGCCAAAACAAGAAAAATTGGCCTTACCCTTCCTGCAGATAACAAAGTGCACTTTTTTTTTCCATCTGGTTTCTGTTTCAATGTTGGTAGATTCTGTCTGGCCTAGATTCTGGATGTATCCAATAACTTCAAATACCAAACCTGCCGTCAGTCGGATCCTAGTAGAATTAAACTTCTCCTGACCACTTGCCTTCAGGGATTTCCCTATGAATCCACACAGTCCACACATAAATTCCCCTCAGAGATTTGTTCAGAACCAAAAGGGTAAATATTTTTTTTTTTCTGAACGAGCAGAAAGGGAATTAGGTACCAGATGAAAATGTTTTCTTGGCTTGTGAGACATTCTTCAATTCTGCTGAAGTTAAGTGCCTGTATTCTGGGAACAGTATTTTCACCTAGAATAATACTGATACAAACCCAGGAAATGTTACAACTCTGAAAACACCTGGTTTTCTTTTAACGTGTTGTTATAGCTGTGAAAACATGTCAGTGTATTTACAAAAATAATCATTTTTGTCCCATACAAACCAAGTCAAGTATCTGCAGCCAATTATGTGTATTTTAGAACTACCCTTTACTATAGAAAAAAATGGTTTCTGTTCTGTGCACTGATGTCCTTATGGTAATCTCAATTTGGATTTGAAATAAAGTCTAATAAAATTAAAGACTTAAGTGTATCAAAATCTTTCCTTGGATTTCCTTTTCCAAGGGTATAAGCTGAAGGAGTTTGTGAAAGAGAATCTACCTACCTCTGCAGTGCAACGGCTGCAGATCAGTTTCTGAGGTAACAGACGTGCAATCCTGCAAAAGTGAGTTATAATTCCGGAGCGTGGTGACCTTACTGTTTCTGTGGCCAGATGGTCTGCGATGAAGAAGCGTGCTGACAAAATATTCCTGTCATCTTCTGTCACTGAGGATAAAGCTCAAGCGAATACAGTGGAAAATTACATGGTCACATTTTAACGTACTTGTAAAAGGCAAAGAATAAAAGCTAAATCTTCATCACAGCATATTTTTCCGTACAAACCTACCTTCGCAGAAGAAAGCCGTCCCCACAGGCCAACTGCCTGCCCAGGCTTGCTGTCCGCTCTGACTCGAGGAGGTTGTAAAAGAGGCAGGGAGTGTCCAGCTCTGCCTGGGGTGCAGTCTGCACAAGTTCAGTACTAGCCATGACACAGCACGTCTCTTAGAAGTCAAAAAGAAATCGTTCCCAAATGAATTCACACATTGATGTTACTTGTTCCACCAGTGGTGAAATCACAACCCGTGCAGCATTGATAAAAACTGCTTGATCCCTGACAGGAGGGCCAAAAGCAGAGGACAAGGCAACCTCAAATCCAATACCCCAATCCATCACAGACATCTGGAGCAAGACTCAGGTCTTTTGCTGTCTAAGAATGCTGACAAATGGGATTTAAGTATCTATCCGCAGTTCTGCAAATCCATAAAAGGAAATTTTGTTGTGAACTGGCCCTTAGACTGCTAAAAAAGAAAAGTCTGTAAAAAGAATAGATTAATGACCACACCCAGTCCCCAAGGGATGCCTCGAACACAGAGGAAGTTGTTCGATACTGCAGTGATAGCCTGGAGAACTGTGAGGGCACAATAGCAGGCGTCCTATTCTCTTTTAACAGTTTATTAGTTAGGTTTGAAACATCAGTCATGCTTGGTATGCAAGCCAAATAGTATACAACATTAAGTGAATATACAACATCGAGTTACAACACGGTTGTAACAGGTCAGGAGCAAAATAAGCAGCGTGTTTATCATAAATATTAACTATAAATACCAAACATTTTTTAATTTCTCCTTGTTCTTCCTATTCCTCCTAGATCATGAAAATACACGTTCCTTGCTCCCGCTGTTGGGAGTGCAAAAGCCAAGTACAGATTTCTGTGCAGAAACTGCAGAGCTTACAGGCAAGAAGCTGAATTCTCCTTCCTCCCCCTTCCCTCCTGCACTGAAACAGCGCTAGCTACACATTAAATAAGTAAATACTTTGGATGTTTTAAATGGAGCTGACTCATGCTCTCAAACAGCCTGACATGGCCGAGAGCCAGTTGTGCAGTATGTCCCTTACTCGTACAGTACAAACAATTCCAAAAGAACAGTTTTTTATTTGTTTTTCACTGCATCTGATGGCTGTTAGCGATCCTTTCCCTGGAAGTTCAGCTCTGGCTACTTCTTTTCTAGTTTTTTTTTCATGTAATTTCTTAGCTAGATTTCTTCCTCTCATTTATGTTACTTTGCATGCAAGTCATTATCCTGGCAGAGAGCTATAAAGCTTCCCACAGAAAAAGGTTTTATTTAACAGCAGTGACTCTTTGGGCCAAGCCGATCATGAAGTCAGCAGAAAGAAACACTCAAGATTTTCCTGCCATGGCAAGTCAAGCTGAGGGTATCCTGCGGGTTTCACAGATGGAGGAAGAAAAATGTCTGAAAGCTGGTAACTATTTCTAGTCCCTCTGACCAATTTTCTGCCCCTCAAGATCCAAAAGTTTTAATATGAAATTCTGGGAATGTGTGTCTGCTCCCCCTTTCGAGGAACAGGGCAAAGTGCCTAGAGTTACGTTCGGTGTGCACTGTTATTTTGTGGTGACAAATAATCCATGAAGGGCAGCTTCTTTCATTTTGTTTTGCCTTCAGAAAAGTCCCCTGCCTTGCTGGCGGTCGGCTCTTCTGCTGGCAGCTCACTGGACATCTCTATTTGTTAAGAGGGCCCACAAAGGGGTTTTCCTTCGACACTCATTTCCCTGCCCACTTTGGCCTGCTTAAAGGCACAACACCAGCTCAAAGAGCCGGTAGCAGCAGTTTTGAAATTTGTCCATCCCCAGGAGTTAAAAAAAAAATAAATGAGGGCTGGATTACTGAGGATCACATGCTCAGCCCCAACACATCCAGCCTCCTCCATCCGAGGAGCTGGTCACCATGCTGTGGTTCCCTTGTGAAGCTCTTCATGCTCCTCAACGCGATGCAGCCAACAAAAATTAAGCCCTCAGAAGAATTCCTTCCCCTCTGAAGCACTAGCCCACTTCCACAGCTTAAGCCCTCTCTTTGCACAGCAGATGAAAACCAGCAAAGAAATTTGAGATCTGAAATGAGTTTGGCTCCCACCGCCAGTTTTACAAAGGGCATAACTAAAGCTGCAAGCTAAGGGGAAAGAGATCGGGGCTCAGAATGGAAACTCACAGCAGCGCTACGCCTGCAGGCCAGGCCAAGCACGTCCAGGGAAGGAAGGAGGAAGGACAGGTGAGCCGAGAGCAAGCCGCCTATCAGCCTGCCTACACCACCTCATTTTCCTCTGGCTCCAGCACCACAGGAGAGGAGGCGCAGTCACTCTTCTCCCCTTGAAGGCCCAGACTTTGTCCCTCTTGTTTCCAGCAGGTTTTACCGTCAGCTCCCAGCTGCACCGCTCCGCTGGCCACCAGCTGCAGGGCGATGGGGAAAGCCCGGCACTCGGCTTCCTGAACCCTTGCCGACAGCGTCTCCTCGGTGTCATCTGCCCTCACGGATACCGGCTCCTGGTGGATCACTGCTTTGGGGCAAGACTCCTCCTGCAACAGAGATTGAGGTCTTTTAGGAGAGGCTGGTGTCCGTGAGGGTACGGAAGATGTAAACAGGGCAAAAAAAGTCTTATGAGATACCTCAGTAAGGCAGAGGGTCTCCCCAAACACACAGAGTAAAGCTGCCTTTCCAAATGCAAAGGAACCCCCACACATTGTACCTGGTAACATTCCCAAGATCTGTGCACATTCTTGTTACCTCATCCTGCTGCTGCCTTCAGAAAGGGGAAAAAAGGCAAATTCCCTTTCACAACTTCCTCGCTGTTAGGCAAGAGGACACTTACCAGGACAAAATGCACCGTGCAGCCCGTGACTTTGAACCCAGTTTGCAGGGATTGCTGATGGACATTTCCACCCTTGATTGCTGGGAAAAGCGATGGGGAAGCATTCAGAATTTTCCCTAGACATTGGCGTGAGAGAAAAGAAAAATCAATTTGAAAGGAATTCCCTTCAAGTGAGATGTGATCATCAGTTCAAACCGACAGCAGTCAGCACCACTGAGGAGCTCAAATGGTCCCAGTAACAGTCAGGATGCAACAGGGCACGTTCACATTTAAAAGCAAAAATGGATGTGGTTTTATGATCTCTTTAGAAATCTGGGTGGGGAAGTGCTGCTCTGATCTGAGGAAATACTACTCTTCCAGGAACACAAGGGATGGTGGGCAGGCTTTCCCAGGCAAGCATGTCTCAGCTGAGGCTGAGGACCTCATTTGCTGTTGCAGCTACGGCCAGAGAGAGTCACGAGTCTCTGCCCTCTCAGGTGACCAGCCCTCGTGCTGCAGACGAGGTGCTTGGAAGCAGAGGGCTTCACACTGCAGCCTCACGCTGAGCCCCTGCACGGACGGAGGTCATTCTCACTGGAAACATGATTCCCTAAGAAGCCTGTCCACGTGCAACCTGCACGGTCAGTAATGTCTGAGCAAGGCCTCAGGAGCCAGTACGTGGTGCCAAGAGGAGGGGACAGGAGCATGCATTCCCTCCTCTGCTGGCCTGCATGTAAAGAAAACTCTGCCCCAGAGCAGCGCAGAGCCATCCTCACCGAGGGAGCTGCAGCAGCTGTGTGTCCAGCACGCTGCACAGCAGTGCTAGGTGCAGCCCTAGGAGGGGGACACATTAAGAAATCACCTCCCCTCGCAGCTTTCTGTGAAACAACTGCAGGGAGCAAGTTCTCACAACTCCCCAGCACAGCTCCTGGACAGACAACACAGAACCAAACTTCTGCCTGCACTACAGGCACTTCTCCTTCCCAGTAGGAAGGCAGAGAGACCAACTCCATGACACTGCTTTTGCCTCCTCTGTTACTTCTTGTGCCAGCACAGGGCACTTCGCTGTTAGTGCACAGAGTTGCTGGCTGGAATGAATACAAATGATAGCCCTGATGATTTACATCCAGTCCTCAGTGTCAGCAAGGCTGAGAGAACTTTAACTGTAAGAGGAAGAAATGTGTCTGTAATCCTAGTACAACTAAGCATCTGTATTTTAGTGTCTCTTTTACAGAGCTGTAGTTTCTTACCTTTCCATTTCCTGAGGAAAGGACTGGACAGAATTCTCATAAATCCTGAGAGACATATCAGTTCGACAGCAAATTCTTCAAGAACTTGGTCAATTGTGCTGTCAAATTCAGAGCGACTCCCGTATAACTTATGATCAATCACCTGAAACATTAAAACACATCAAAAGCTATATCAAGGAAATAACTTCATGTGAATGAGAGTAGCTACGTGAGCAACAAAGGCAAAGCAAAACTGATTAATTCCAGAACACTCAAAGAATTAAAGAGTTATGAGCTTGCACATTATTCAGGATATTTTTGATTTTCCTGTTCATATCAACATTCCTGGGAACACCCCAATCACTTGTTAGTTAATGCAGGTTGTTTCCCACAAAGTGTAGTTTTCTACTACATGTAGAAAATCTGCACAAAGAGAAATAAAGAGTGAAAAAAAGAAACTTGGGTAATATGGAGTAGAAGGAAATAAGGGTGAAGGAATAAGGAAATAAGGGGGAATCTTCAAAAGATATTGATCTCCGGAACATCAGCATCATCACCAGTCAGTCTGTAGGTGCTTACTGAAAATCATTAATTTATCTAGAAAGACAACAAACTGACTGGACATCCCATGTAACAGGAGGAGTTAAGTCTTGTTTTAGTCCTACTCAGCCCCTTCTCCCTGATGCCCCACGTACGTGTTGATTCCTGACTGCTCACAAAGACATTCAAATAAGGGGCTGCAGAACCATCTTACTGTTATCTTTGGAAAAAAAAAAAAAAAAAAAAAAAGGTTACATTATGTTAAAATTCATTCATAATTTCAGTCTTTATGCTGCCAGAAAAGAAAAAAAGAGAAAAAAAAAAAAACAGTAACATGGATCCAACTCAGCTGTTACGGAAGCTTGTTGAAAACTTTTTAATACATGGAGAGCCTCTAACAGCATTTATTCCCATCTGTGCATAGCTGTACACGTACAATAACTTCTCTAAAACATTAAACATTAGAAAGAGGAGTTCCTGGTGGGCTGCATTTGAAATTGCAAATCATTCAGTGTTTTCAAAAACCACCTTCTCTGCTTTGCCAAATACGTTGGCATGATGTTATTCTCTTTCTGTATCTCTGCTTTATGAAACAAACCAGTGAAAGTTTCCGTAACACTTTACTGACCAAAAGTAGAAGAGACTTGGATGGTGCTGCTGAAAGTGACTGAGCACACAGGATGGTCTTTCTATGAAGGGATGAGCCGAGGAGGCAACATGCTTCTGTGTTTTGCAGAGCCTGAAATCTTACTGACTTCTCTTAGAGCTGTAAGTTGCTTGGGCTACAATTTCAGACTGAAATTATCAAAGCATTTGCAAGAGTAAAACGTAAGCATACTAATTTCAGTGAGATCTAACACATCTCTAAATGTAGGCACGTGCTTATTTTAAGTCCCTTCCTAACTCTGGACTGTAACGCTCACTGAAGAGACAGGAGAGACACAGCCTCCAGCGAGTGCTGTGTTAGGCCCGTACAGCTTCCAGCTCTGTCTCTGCTGATACCTTTGACAGTTCTGTGCTACATCCACTCATTCACACAGAAGATCTAAACAGATGTGAAACACGAATTCTCACCAAGCATTACGTTACAGACCTACAGATTCAGTAAGTGTGAGCTGGTGCTAGAAGGGAAATGGGTGCCTTTACCCTGGTGGGAATCCCAGCACGGGCTGCATTTCGTAGTTCCTCCACACCGGACTTGTTGGAGATGACGAGCACAACTTGAGCACAACTGCCTGGTTCTTTTGCATAATTGATGAGCGCAGCAAGATTTGTGCCTCAAATGCAAAGAGAGCAAATATTTACAAAATAGATGAGCATCTATATCACTGAGAAGTGACTCTTAGCCCTATTTAATAAAAATATTTGTGTCAAGGACTGCACAAATGGAAGAGGAGAAAGAAATTTATGCAGTAAGAAAGCTCATTTGTTAAGCAGTACAAAACACCTGCTTGACTTGCAGTCAAAGCATAGCCCTACTTTTAGAAGGCTCCATAGAAAAAAAAAACAAAAAAACAAGTCAAGGCAGATGCATTTACATCAGGGCTGAATTCAGCCTCTCCTTTGTATGAGCATTTCTCTGTGTGATGATAAACGAAAGCTCACCTGTCCCAGAGACGAGAACAGCTACTTTAACTTTGTTCCTTCTGGGCTGGTGTTGACTCTCTACAACAAGCATTATTCAGCAGGTGCTGGGGGCTGCTGAGCTGCAGAGCTTCAAGAAGATTCTTGACTTTGATGTGAGAACCTCCTCCAGATATGTGAGGAAAACAAAAGTAAAATACTTCAGATCTTACTTTCCCATCTATATTTAATTGGTATAGCTCATTAGTCATAAGTTTCAATTGACAAAACCTATCAGCAATGAACGTATGCTAACACTGACTGAAGTTAGTGTTAGTCACTTGCAGAAGGAAGACTTACTACCACCAGTGACTGCACACAGCTGTGGCCTATCCTCGGCCTTTATGTGGGATCCATATGAGTTGGGAAGGGGCTGGAAAGGAGGTGTGTTGATTACCATGATTGTGATAAAATATAGTTGACTAAATAATGTTAAAGTCCTTACAGACAGCCATCAGAGGGATTTCCTCAAGCCTCAACCAGGCACCTAGGTAAGGCACCATTCAAGTAATGTCACTCTGAAAACAAGTCATTCACTTCTCACGGTATTTAATAGTGAAATCTAGATGTAAAGGCACCAAGTGGCCTCAAGCCTAGCAAAATGACGGGAGATAGATGTGAACTACCCAAAACTTGCAACAGAACAGTTCCTACAGAGCTGAGCACAACTTGTACCTCCTGGGAGATGCTCAGCACTTCACAGAATCACATTTACACAACTCTCCCTCTATCAAGTTAAAAATAAGTAGTGCACACCTAGGTGGAAACATCTCTGAACGAGGATACAGGTGAATCTTTCAGTCAAAGCACACTATTTAATTTTTGTGTCTTCGTTTCCACTAAGACACCTGCTAACAAGGTGTCTTACACCTGCTAACCTGTGTGACAAGGGGCAACAACTTCCCCGATCAGCCAAGCTTCCTCATGTCTCTGTACATCCTTGAGAACATGCTGGGCCAGCTCCTTCTGCACAACCAAGACCGCCCCGATCCCACAATTAAATGTCCAAGCCATCTCCTCCTCAGACAGGTTTCCCTCTTTGTAAAGCCAGCAGAAGATTTCAGGAATCTTCCAACTAAGTGCATCTGAAAAAGAAGATTGAAAATTGGGTATGGTCAGCACAAATGTTTGCTACCCATCTGCTGTTGCACACAGTGGTATATTGTGAGAGCTGTTAGACATATATTCTTGATATTTTAAGATCTTTTAGATATTTTAAGCTATTTTAGATATTTTAAGTGCCCAGTAAGGACACTGATCCAACTTCCAGTCATGCTTATGGGTGCTGCTTAGGCAGAGGTTTCTTGACACCATTTGTGCAAGAAAAGGGATCTCTAGGCTTTCTGAGAACACATAGGAAATGACGGCACATTAAAACATACCCATCCTTGATCAGCCAGATCAAATGACTTACATCTCTTCTGTAAGAGATATAGAAGCCATGGAACAAAACATCTGGCTTTTTTTGGGCTACCTAAGCAGTTCCTAGTCTTCTGTTTTGAAGAAACAATGACTGGTATAAGCGTGCATACTTATGTGTGTTAGCAGGCAGACTGGAACAAGGCTGATTATTAGGAAGCATGGATGGGCTTTCACAGTGACCCTACTCATGCAGGCATGTCCTTAGCTTCTCTGTAGAAAGTCTGATGGTATAGACTCACCACTTTGACTTCACTTTAGAAAACAGTCCCCTTGGATTGTTATCTTGTCCATGGTTCTAGCCACTCATAAGCAAGCCGGGCACCACTTTAGTAAGCTGAGTTTATTTCTCTTCTTTCTAATTTCATTCTAGAGAAGTACAAACTCCTTCCTTCTCCCCTTCCTATCACCTTAATATTTTTGGACTCTCATCAATATGTGTGGTTGTTGTTTTAATTTTGGTTTGGTGCTGTTGTTTTAACTTCCTAATACTGTTCCCAATTTTGGCTTCAATAGAAGAAGTTTTAACTTAGATGTCAAATTCTAATCTGTTGTGAAGAAGTTACTGCCGACCACAAAATTGCAGTAAGTGTTTGTCTCTGTCTGTGTACACACTGTGGAGTAAGTCATGCAAATTAGTTATCTCAACAAGCTTCACTGTTTGGTCAAAATTATTAGTATATAGAGAGATTTTGCAGAGCACACAATTTTCTCAAATCCCTTTTGTTCTAGAGATAAGCTGCCTTCAAACTCTCCTTAAATTCCCCTCTCCAACAAGAGGCTGGTGCTCATCAGTTGATGCCTACTCGAAATAGGAATGTTTTTGGCCATCTGTATGGGAGGGTTGACTTTGGGTTGTTCAGCCTCCAGCTTTGTATACACAAAACATGTCTGAGGGTCTCTATAACTGAAGCTGAAAAGTCAAGTCTATGCTGTATATAAATTTTGTCAACCAGAAACAGTCATCTTTGATATTTACCCAGGACAGCACTGACATGTTCTGGCAGGACTCTGGAGATGCCTTCCAGCAACCCTTCCTCAGCAATAAAGGCAAAAGCCTTCACGTGCCCCGAGCGAAGAACAGGCAGCAAAGACGGACTGTACAGTTTTGCTGGGGTCAACAATACATCTCCTGCAAACAAAAGTGTCAGTTCAATCAGATTGTTAAAAAATACATTAGGCATTTGGTGAGAATGCTTCTCTGAACAGGTTCCCTTCTGATCTTTGTGGCACACAGCCTTGGGAAGTAGCAAACAGCACCGGTCCACTCTTCCAAAACTAAGGAAGCAAGACATACACCTACCCCAAAGACTGCATAACCCTAATCCATCCTGAAATAAACAACTCGTGGCAGCGCCTAATGTCTGGAAATGTCTGGACGCAATTCATTTGGAGGTTTGCTTTTGAGAAAGAAGATGTTGTACCTAGAGTCTTGTCACCACAGCTGCCAGGCGCTGGGGAGGAGTAGTATAAAGAGGACATTAAGAGTATCTTCCTTATGATGCTAAAGCCACGGCCGTGGATCCCAGAAGAGGCCAGTCCAATGAACACATCCTCCTCATCAGCTCTCTGCAGCCCCAAAAGCATCTGCCCTCGCTCCACTGCACCAACCACAAAGCCAGCCAGGTCATACTCTCCAGAAGAATACATGCCAGTCACCTCAGCCATCTCCCTGCCTAAGTGGGGAGAAAAAAGCAGTCAGCTCTACCTGTAAACATGTTTTATTGATAACTTTAAATCTGCGGCATCTCCTAAAATAGACAATGTATCCAGGACAGTTCTAGAGATGTACAGCCTAAGCAGCACATTCAGATGCATTTTAAAAATCCTTCTCAGTTTCTTAGGTCATGGCTTCAATAAAACAAAACTTTATGAACTTACTGAAAGAAGAAGGCATTCTTGTATTTCATGCTATTTATCTGACACTTTCTTCTATGATGGAATATCAGAGAGGGAATGAAAACATGTAGCACTTCAAGAATGTAAGGCATGGGCAATTTTGCTCTCCTTTATACAAGGATAAAAAAGGGAGAGACAGGATCCAAATGCACAAATAGCAAAGATCATCCCTCTGTGCTGACCCATTTTATAAATGAGGAAGAGTTTGTGCCCAAATGCTTGCCTTTTTATTTTCCCCCAAACAGAAACCAACTGTTCCAAGATCACTTAATTGTTCTGCCTACAAATTCTATTCACTGATAATAATTTTAATGTCAGGACCTTCAAATATCAAAGAAGAAGTGTGTTCATACCTAGGAAAGCACACCCTGCATTTCTGCATGCTTCAGCTATTCCTTCTTTGATTGTTTGAGCCACCTCGACATCAAGTTTACCACAGGCAAAATATGTGAGGAAGAAGAGGGGCTCTGCTCCTTGAGCCAGGATGTCATTGACACACACGGCAACCAGGTCCTGCCCTATGGTGTCATGTCTCTTACACGCTTGCGCAACCTGCAAAACATGGGAGGGAGCAGCAGTGGTGACAACAGAGACGCAGAACTCAGACGTCAATCAGACAAATAAGCAGATATCTTCTTCTTTACCCTGATAAGAATCACAACAGAAAACACCGTGGAAGATACCTTCAAGAAAAATCAAGATCAAGAGAAACCATCTCATTTTCTCAAAGAGAAAAAAAAAATCCTCCCCCCCCCTTTTTTTTTAAAGATTAATTCAAATTCTAACTTCAGCTACCCATAAATTGACATTTGGGGTTGTTTGTTTGCTTGCTTTTTGGAAAGCTATGTCAAATCCAGAATAAGGGGTGTCTGAAAGCAGTTACCAATTCCTGGGACATCCAACCTACAGAACATCCTAGCAATTTCTGAAAAGAAGACCAGGTTGCTTAAACATTATTGTGTGTTTTGCTTCACTTTTGCCTACTAATTTCAGTGGGCTACATAGCAAAACTGAAAGAATGTCATTAAGCAGTTTGCTTGTTCTTCTCCAAGCCCACAAGGAATGAGATTCTCCTCTCCCACCCTCCACAAGGAGTCTTTTCATCCCAGCTATCTCATATCACAGACAACAAAAAGGGCCTGGTCTATAGGTAGGTCTTCCAGAAAGGAACATCTTGGTTCCTTCAGGAAGGCTGTTATTAGGTTTAAAATAAATAAATTATCAAGTTATTTGCACCCTACGAGTAATGAAACCTAATTCAGACATGATGGCTTCTACAAAGTAGTGCCATTTACACTATTTTAATATAAACAGAAGTTTCTGCACTGCCAGGGATACACCAGAGCAGTTTTGTTTGCACCAGCTACTGATGTAGAGGTACTGTTCCAACTCACACAGTGCAATTTAGCTTTGTTAGTTACCACTTCAGGGTCTGAAACAGGCCAAAGACTGCATATGTATGGATAAATTTTCAAGGTAACTACCTCTTACTAACAAAGCTGTATCATTTTAGTTATACCAGTGCAGAAAAGCCCAGCCCTGAAGGACAGGCAATGGCAAAATGCAGACGAATGCTATCACTGGCTTCAAAGTGATAAGACAGCAACACCCACGCAAAATTGGAGTTTGATTTACAAGCCTGACTTCTTTCACCATCTGGTTGACTTAGAAGTGCTGTGGAAACCAGTCAGCTCACATCCTTTGTTGCATTATAACAACTCCTTCTCCCTGAGGCAGTAACAATTCATATAGGCATTGGACAACTTGTTTTGTCCAATGACCCAGTGAGGGTCTCAGAACAGTCTGGGAATGTCTCTCTGCCATGCTTATGGGCAAATACCCAGAAGAGCCAGCAGCAATTGCTTTTTCATGCTCAGAGGTGTTCAGGAATGTCCGACTGCAAAAGGCTGCCTGGTTTATTCTCGGCCTCCTGTTGGTGCAGGAAGTCACACCACATCATCTCATTAGTAAAGGTATAAACACCTACCTGAAAAAAGTAACTTGCTTTAGCTGTGAAAGGCAGCTTCAGACCTCCACTCCTCTGATGGCTGAAAGCTGCCTTCTGATTCCCTATGTAAATATATTCCCGGTTCAACTGACACTGTGTTTTGGTATAATTAGCAGCATTTAGCTACTGGCTTCTCTCTCCCTTTTATGTTTATCTCCTCCATCCTTCTTTTCCTCCAGCACCCTGACAGAGGTAATAATGCTGCCTCTCTGCATACAATTTATTAAGCTCAGCTTGACAGTAATAATTTCAGTATTTTTCTGTACCAGTTTCTCCCTGAATTGATCTTTATCAATGCCAATGGATCCTTTAATTTATAGCAGAAATTCTGGTTCTTAGTTCCTCAAGTGCGTGGCTAAATGTTCTGTTTTATTATCATTTCATCACAAAATATACATATTCTCCAGATTCCCAAATGACACATGCCTTGCTCGAGTGATCACCTAAGAAGTCCAACTGACCACTGCAGTGGACTTGGGATGTACTTAAAAAGCTCAGAAGGGTGTAAATGATACAATTTGCTGTGGTGTTTAAACAGTCTTGGGAGATAACATGAGCTTTGATGCAGTCAAGTTGCAAGTTACCTGCAGTTTAGATCCAAGGCCTTTAGTTTGAGATACCAAGATGGGATCATCATAACCAGATGCCTTTAAGTCGAAGAAACCTGTAAAGCCTCTTACTTCTGAATGACTGCCTGTGAAATAGAAATATGTAAAGGATCGTTTTAAAGTCAATAAAAAGACCCAACATACTCACCAAGACAATATTGCAAATTATGGTTTCTCGGACAAGACAGCATTGTGTCCACTGACAAAACATGCACAGCTTTGTGAAGCAGGGACCCTGAAATCATGTATTTCATCGTGCTGTAAACAGATGGTTATTATTCTGTGTTTGTGACCTATGGATTGTGCATTAAAAAAAGGGATAAAAAATACTGAACTTTTAACAGTTTGCTTTTTTTTTCTTCATGTGACTCCTTTTTCTAAGGGAAAAAAAAACAACAAGAATTTTTCCTCAACAGATCACTATTAAGAGTAAAGGACAAATAACAAGTGCAGGGATTGTTAGCCACATCGTAACAGCTATTTGGATATTGTACTCATGTGTACATCTGGTGGGATAACTTCTGCCCAGTGATGTACAAAACTATTCCATTAATCCAGGAGTTATTCTGTTCACTAGACCACCCTTGAAAAAGTGCACTCATTCCCATGTTAAGCCCACTATCTTTTAATTAAGATTTAAGGAGGGATGAGGAAGAAATTAGAGTTTTCTTTCTTCATGGTGAGCCCAGCCCACTTTCTCTAACTCAGTTTCAATGCCAAGAGAAGATTTGTTCAACTTCTGGGATAAAAAATAGAAATAAAAAAAGTTCTGGTTTCACTACTGAGGAAATTCAAAGATTGTTCCTGATCTTACCTGATCTGGTACCACTTACAATTGATCTTTTTGGCTGATGAAACAAAACATCATTGGTTATGGCTTCCACACATCTCTCTTTGTATATCAGACCCCTGCGGGGAGGAAACGACATGCTAGCAGCAATAGCGACATTTTCATAGACCACCACTGATCACACAAACGATAACATCAGACAGAGCTTTGGACTGGCATCTATTTCTGCTCGTGCCTTTGCTTACATACAGAGACTGTTTGAGAAGCCGTATACCCCGGTGGCCAATGTCCTTCCTGTAAGTGGCACCCTTGAAACGAATGGCTGCTACTCCCCTGTTGGCTTCTCCCAGTGCCTTCATCAGATCCTCCTTAACAGCAGTAATGGAGAGGACTCTGCCGCCACTTGTAACCACTCTGCCATCCTTCAGCGTTGTGCCAGCGTGGAACACCTGCAGCCCTAACTCTTTGGCTTGAAGCAGCCCTGCAAAAGCAAAAGGAACTCTGAGTACTTTTAACCACGTACCATGTTGGCAAAGCAGTGAAGACTGAAGTCCTTTTTTCAGTTGAGAGAGAAGAACGATGAAGCTTCCCACTTTACCTTTCCTCTGAGAAACAGCATTACCAGTCATTCCCTTCTGAGCCAGCCAGTAAGGACAGGGATCACACAGGAACAAAAATAAGGGATCCAGGTGCTACAGGAGAACATTCAACTACCCTCTGCCATGGCAAAACTGTGCTGAATATTGTAATTGCTGAGCTTTCCATGAAATGCATGAAATCATCCCACAATACACAACAATTGACTGCTTGGACTCCCTTTTCTCCCTGATACTAAACCATTCATGTTAGTGTTACCTCAGCACTGCCCTAGCCATTCTGCTGTGCCTACTCCACATAATTCCCTACCATACTTGGAATCTACTCTACAATCACTTGCAGGTGGCTGTCTGAGGGCTAAAACAAATGATTTATTTTGTTCTTTTAATGTGTTTCCATGCATTTTCTTCTCAGCGGGAAGCAAATTCCTCAGGGATTTTTGAGAGGATCATATTTTAAGAAGATAAGGGAAGAGGAGGAACTGCTGCCATCCCCTGGAAAAAGCAAAACAAAACATGGTTTTCCCCTTGCTATCAGCTAGATAGATTTTATAAATGAGTAAAAGGAACCTTTTTACTTGCTGGAGGTACAGGGTGTTGCATCACCACAACACTGCACTGACAAGGTCAAAGCTGAGCCCCAGCTGGCCTTGCTGCAATGGAAACCTAACTCCTTCTCGTCGTGTCTTAAGGAATACTCCAGAATAAATGTTTGTTAGTTAAGCCATTAAAATGTGGGATTCGATGTGAAAAACAGAAAGATGTGAATAAACCCCCCACAACTCCACGGCTTGGAGTACGATAATAAAATAATGGATTAAATTTCCTTGCTTTGACCATCTTTTTTTTTTTTTTTCTTTTTTTTTTTTGGGATCAACAAGCAGGGTGGTCACACTATCTCACATGGATGTACCATGGTTGTCCCAGGAAGATTTAACACCCCATCACCTTCTTATCTCAGCAGCCAGCTACAGACTGAGCTTTACAGAATGATGCTGTTTTAAACATTGAGGCCCTGTGCTACTTTGGACAGGAAGCATTTCAGCTAAACAATCTTACTGAACAGTTATTTCTTCCACAAGGACAAGGAGTGATTGATGAAGGCAGATTCTGCAGAGCGCGAGGGGTGGGATGAAGGAAAGCAGTACAGCTCTCTGGGAGAAGAAGTAAATGCAAGCTTTCTGAAGTGCTAGGCTGCAAGGAAATAGTGAACAAGCTTCTCAAGTTACCTGTTACTTCCATGCCTTTGTCATAGTCTCCCGGGTATCCTGGACTTGCCATGACCACACACACAGCTGTACTGTTTTCTGACCAGGCTGGCATGAAGCTGCAGAGTTTGCCATCAATTGTTGCTTGAATCACTTCATACAAATCATTTTTAAGCAGTGGAAGGATTACCTGCATAAAAATTTTCATGGTGATGGAAGTTAATTCTTATTTTGCTGGCTTACTGAGAATCACCTTAGGGAAAATTCAATTAACAGAATAAAACCTGTAGCTGCCAAACTGAAAATACTGGATTTCCCTATATCTCTAGATTTGGAACCCATTGGTGAGCACTAATTTGCAACATCTCTTTGCAACAGGCAGAAATTTGTAACATGATGTGAGATGATGGCACATGAATTTAGGCCCCTCCCAGTACGCTTCTACCCAGAAAAATAAGATTGAAGGAACAGCTCTTTAACTTAAATTCTTTAACTAGTAATTCACAGAAGCTGACTAGCTAAAATTTTAAATTACTTCTTACATCACCTAAGACATTCTCTTTCTGATCTGCATGTTGAGGGAAGGAAGACATAAATCCAAATATTTTATGCATATTTCCCAGGAGGTAAGATATAACAGCCAGAGGCAAAAGAATGAAGCATATGTAAGCTTCCAGTATCTGTCACTCACCTGGCACTGAGGGTCACCAAACTGACATTTAAAGTTTAAAATTTTCACACCATCTTTGGTAAGCATTAACCCCGTCTGCAGCACACCTGCTCAGAAAAAAAACACAATCAGGAAAATGAATTTAAATGTTCATTTTTCAAGAATTCTTTGAAATGCAACATACTATTTATTTCTGCTAACTGTAAGAAATTAGGAGCAGGGATTCAGCAAGCAGTTTGACACAAGTCATAATAAATCCACAGTAAGCAGCAAAGTGGCTAGCAGCAATGTGATGAATATTGCATCACATTTTAGACTGAATACAATGGAAAGCAACCTCTCTGCATCAGAAAGGCAAGTTCTGCCTTCTGCTGCAGCCCTCTAATTGCAGCATTCAGAGATCAGATGGAACTGACGGGATGAAAAAAAAAGCAAACAGTTCCCATAAAAGACCATTACGTAGACCTTGCAATTTTCTTACCATTGAGTGTGTTACTGTAATGCATAAATATAGATATGTAACTCTGTGTTCAGGCAAAAACGCCAAACCAAAATTCATAACCACTGCTAATAAACAAAAACAAATGAATATTTACTGAAGTTGATACTCTGTGATTTCTATTGCAACACGCACATGAATATGGTGATCTAAAGTGGGCCTTTAATTGTCTAACTGGAAAACCAATCTCTAGAGAATAACAAGTGTTAAACATTAAACCCCACAAAGCATCAGGTCCTCCACCATCATCCTGAAAATGCTCAACACCTACTTATTTCTTACTGCAGCACTGTAAAATCGTACTGAGCATTATAAAAATGTTACCAAATAGCAGAGAATACACTGCGTCTCTCAAGACTGGGACACAACTCTTCGCACATGTGTTGATAGTCTTCCCTACCAAGAAATTGTTGTCATAAAGTGACAGCTGTGAGCATCTCCTTCCTTTTTTCAAAACATTCTTAAGACAAAGATAACTCACATTGCTGTATCCAGAAGTGAACAGTATGCCTGAACTTAAGTACATCTAATACCTCAACCTACAAAGAAGCTGGTTGCAACTGTTTTAAAAACTGTTCTAATTTAATAAAAATACAGTATGTTTTATAGCTCAGTATTATTCAGACTGAGTGATTTCTAGCTAATGAGATTAATTTATTTTTAAAAGCAACAGTCATAGCAATCAAATGCAAGGGCCCACATAGTTTGCAAGCTTCCCACATTCTGACTGATGTTTTTGTTTTATAGCTAATAAGAAATATGTCTGTTAGTCAGTCTGCACTGAACAAAAAAAAAAAAAAAAAGCAGGCATGAGAAATCTCCTGAAATGTCATCTGAAGAAAAGAAGAAAGTTCTTCTCTCCAAAGGACGAGCTACAAAACAAATCAGTGAGGCTTAATACTGTGTGAAAAATGAATTTTTTGTTTGTTTGTTTTTGACAAAATTGTTTGGGAATCCAAAAGCAATCCCCAATAATGAAACTAATCTTGATTTTCAGTTGAATGCTTACTCACCTACGTATGCTGCTCCTTCTTGCCTCATACTATCAACAACATGTTGAAGGATAGCATCGTTGATTTTCTCTAGAAGAACTTCTGGAACCTGATGATCAACATCAAACTGTTTGAGACAGTGATGACACTTGCTGGACTAGCTCCTAGGACTTGGAAGGGCTGGGGTAAGTGAACGCCTCAGCTATGTTTCCCACAGTCCCACCCTCATCCAGTATGCTCCTTCCATTAGGGTGTTGCTGCCTGAAGGACAGATACACTGATGCTCTGTCTCCTGGGATTTTTTGTTTCTTTAGAGGGACAAGTTTAAGAAGGTTTGAGACACTGAAAACCTGTATGCAGTAAGATTGTTTCTGTACTTCCAGAAAAACACACTAATAGTACACTCGAGCAGCATACATACAACAATGTAGTCAGCTTTAAGAATTAACAAAAGTAAACCCATGGTTATGTTCAAGACAAAGACTCCAGGCAAGCAGGAAATTTTGCAGGGACATTTCAAGTGATGCTAATTGGAGCAGAGAAACAGCAAGTTTATAAGCAATGGAAAAAGTAAATGCCAAATTTAGAAAGAAGGAAAAGGTAAACACCAAGTTTAGAGAGAAGGAAAAAATAAATACCAAGTTTAGGAATAATAGGAAAAGGTAAAAAAGAGTATTCCTCAGAACACTAGCTCACAAAATCCTAAAGAGCAGCTACTAAAGGTTGAGCCCTGTGTTACTCCTACACAAGCACAGCAACAATCAATTCCAGAAGAAATTCATCATATGCAACAGAAACAAAATTGGGCTCTAAAGGTGTATTAACCACAGGTGTGTGATCAGCCTTACTGCAGGCTGAGGAGGACGGCTATACCTGAGGAACCGGGCAGTAGGCTCCCATCCCTCCGGTGTTTGGGCCCTGGTCGCCATCCAATAATCGTTTGTGGACCTGGGCTGGAGGCATTGAGGCAACAGTGACACCATCCGTGAAGCACAGGCACTGTTAAGAGAGGCACAGGACACAGCAAACAGTGACAACATCCTGTCCTAAGGGAAGTTAACACTACTGGTCACAGATTGAGGTAAATTTGGGAATCTGCCAGGAATAGGTAGGAATCAAAGCTAAAAAGCAATGGGATCCATTTATTCTGCTCCAAGCTTACTAAGCTCTCTTATTTTCAAATGATCAGGAGAAACGATGGCCTTCATAAAAATTCCTTTCTGATGAACTAGATCTCAACCTATCCGGCAAGATTTAGACATATGCCTGCCTTAAGACAGATAAATAGCCTTCCTCTGCTTGACAGAATTGCTCCTATTTTGAGTATGTTTGAAGTTAAACATCTGTGCTTGCAAATCTGGGGCCTGAATGTGTGTGAGGCATTCTCAGTGCAGAACACAAAGAATTTGTTTTCAGTTTTCGCCTGGCACATAATATACATGCTTAGCTTTTCTCCTGACACTGAGAAATAACCCACAGTAAGAAAAGTGCTAAAGTCGACACTAAGTATTAGCATAAAATTAATAATGTAACAAGAATGGCCAAGGCAAAGTCCATACAAACATGCTTTAGGTCACCTTAGGAAAAAACGATCAATTTCCACCTAAAAAGATCGCCACAGTTGCAGGTTTATGGCTAATGTAAAAGAAAATTCCACTGACAGGTTAGAATGACGTAAAATTACTTACCTTCCATAATTATTTATGTGAGTGTCAAATAAAACAAACAAGCCTACAAAACTATTTGAAACAGTATGTTTTTGTGTTTATGCATAAAGCACAGCAATAATGACAAGGAATAAAAGCAAATAACCACATCACTGATCACATACAGAAAGTTCTTCCCCTTGAAGAAGTTCTTCAATGACAACCACCTCTCCAAACATCCTGTCCTGCACAAAAACAAACAAACAAAAAGTTGTCAGTCAGTAAACACAGCATCTACTGGCTAAATCGTCTATTTTCTGTTAACAGAAAAGACAATGGATATGAAAAACGTCAGCTTGGTTGAATTCTTGTATGCTGAGAAAAGCTAACAGAATCTCATTTGGAGGTAATTAAGAGATGTTTAAATGCACCTTTTATCAGGCCCCAGGAGCCAAAGGAAAGTGGAAGACTTGGAGGGGCAGGAAGGTGGGACATAGTGTGGGAATGAGAGTCCAGTCACAAGCTCCCCAGAGCCCTGTTCAGTCCTCCCTGTCTGAGGGCAAACATGAGAAACCCCTCAGTAACCATAAAGGTGAGCAACAGGGGGAAAAGTCCCACAGTGATCAAACCTGACACACATGCAGACTGAAGTACTACACCTTCAGAAAGCATGCAGCCAATGCTAATGCAGAAGCTGGATGGATTCAGTCTGGGGGGTTCACCCTGTTCTTAGTCAACTAGGTGAATGATATTCCCGCTGTTTAAGTAAAGATTTCTCCACCTGCATAATCTCTTGGACAGCTCTGCAGGCTTCCTCCTTGCTGGCTGCAATAGTCACTTCTTTTCTAGCCGCAGGGCCCCTCGCCCGTACAACTCGTGCAGGAAAGTCTGTGCTTTAAATAAAAGAAAAAGATTCAGTCATCCCTACTGCATCCAGTGAAAGGCACATTTTTAAGCTCAATTCTCCCTACATCCTTCCATTTTTCTAAATGGAATTTAGAGGAATTGAGGAATAATGCATCAGAAAAGCACATTTCCTGCTAGTCCATCCTGTCACAGATGTGAATGGGCTCTTATATCCCTCAGCACAGGACTGAGGACTGGAAATCCATGTGTTCTGTTGGTTCTGACACCAACTCAGTGTATACACTTGAACAAGTCACCTAACACCTTGCAGTTTCTTCCTCTTTTCCCTAAATTGGGTTACTATTTTACTCCTGTCATAGGGCTGGAAAGATGAACTCACTGATGATTTATAGGCTCACAACACCACGTTATAGTACATAAATCTACAAACCACTATGGAAGTTATGATTAGGGTTGTAAGGTTAAGGCTGAGCTAGGTCTTGCACATAAAGGATACATTAAGCCCTAGTGGATTAATGCTGTATCCACAGAATTGATTTGCTTACTCTTAAAATAAATCTGGAGGAAAGGATAAAAAATAAAAAGAAAAAAATAAAAAGTATAACATATTTTAACTACACTTTATCTCTTCACCTCTCTCCAGGTTGTGGACAGTGAAATGACACTTTTGAAGAGCTGATTCATCACACTAATCTATTTTCTGAAACATCTCGTTCCTCTTTTCCACATTGTGATTTATATTTGGATAAATCACAAACCCAGATTTTTACAAGCAGCCAACGTAGGTTCACACAGAGCTCCTTCATTCCAGAGCTCAATATGCTGACCTGAGATACAGTTTTTGTTTTTAAAGTCTTAGGCATACTTACAAACATACAAGTTGTTGTTCTGTTTTTCTGCATGGCCATAATACAGACAATGCTGTTACAGCATTGAACAAAGTCAGTAAAAAGTTTTTTTGTTTTGTTTTGTTTTGGTTTTGTTTTTAATATACCACATGTAATATACAACAGCAAAGACAAGGAGTTTGTGAAACCAACACACAGACCAACGTGGGCCTCTGTAGCTGAACACAACAGCTGCTGTGACACTGGATCTAAACAGCCACAGTGGGAAGTTATTCTCCCACATGATGTCCCGTGATTTCAGAGGATTACTGCTCAAAATACTCGCAGAGATAACCAGTTGCATTTCTCTTGCATGTAGAGAGAGATGTTGTGTGTCCCTGAAGAAATAGGAATATTGTCTTTAAGTTAGGAGTATTTGGCCAGCCCCTCCCACATCACTCTATAGAGATGTAGCTGTTTTCTGTCTGTGTAGAAATGATTCCTGCCCTTACACAAAAATAGATTTAAATCATTTTCTGTGCCACATTCCTTTGTTTTAAATGGCTAAAGAGCATCCTGAAGAAGCCGATTAAAAGGAAGAAGACCTGTGATCTGTGAAGAGAAAAATCAACCTCTTAAAGTATCCTGCACCTTTGTCATCTGTCTTTTATCACAAAACTGATTCAAAAGTATTCAGTAGCTACTTGAAAAGCTTGACAGTTGAAAAGAAAACACTAACTCACTAGTTCTAGGTAACTATCATGGGTGAAGACTAAGTGCATAGATAACTTGATAAAGGAGTTTTCAGTATCCAAATATTTACCTAATAATAAACCTACAAGCTTCCTGGGGATTGGTAAAGGCTTTCCATCTTGCTGTTGGGATCCCATGTCGATCCAGAAAGGCTTTGGCAAAACTGGTGTTGGATGCTAGCTGGGCTGCTTTTGCAGATGGTCCAAAACACCTAACTCCAGCTGCTCGCAAGTCATCAACAATCCCTAATTATCAAAAATAGCAAAAGAAGAAGAATAGCAAGTTGTGTCTTTGGAAACATCATTCTGACAAAATGAACACTACATAGACACTGCAGTAGTCTGTTAACACATTTCAATGTCTCAAACAGCAAATTAATCCTTAAAATAAGGTTCTGAATATCCAATGATCGTCTTCATTGTTTAGTTTTAAGAGGTCTTTAGCTCTTTTTATTAATAAGCCCAGTCACAGTTACCAACCCATGGCTACAGTTAGGACTGTTTGGTACTTCTGTTCACTATTTTAGACATGGAGATCTTACTGTACTACATTATAATAAATGTCAGTGATGGTTTGGGCACTGTCGCATATAGCAGCAATGTTAGGACCATTGCAAGAAAACTCTTTATGTAGCCAAAAGCAGAGGAAGAAGAATACTTGTAACCATCACTGATTTGTGATCCTGCATGATTTCCCCTGCTGATTTCTAACATATAAAAAGCAGCATACAGCTATCCAGCAAAATATTGTCAGCTGCCTTTAACCTACATCTACAAGATACTCCAAAATTTCTTCCACTTCAGTTCAATGAAGTCAGTCTGTGTATTATGATCCTAACGAGATCGTTTTAAAGCAAGATGCAAGGAGCTGATTTTTATTGCCAAGATAATTTATTCCAGCTTACCAGCTGCCAAAAGAGCTTCTTGTCCAACTAACACAAGTCCAATATTATGATCTTTGCAGAACTGGGTAACAATAGTGTGATTGCTCACTAATACAGCTGAAAAGGAAAAGGATGTATAATTAAGCTATCCATACAAAGCCTAAATAAGAGATGGAAAGTGAGAGTATCAATGTTCCATCTCCCTTAGAGGTATGATTAAAATACTAAAAGAGACCACAGGCCATGAATGGCAAAGTAAAACAAATCATATAATAATAATAGAGTCCAGAATGAAAAGTGAACATTTCCAATTTGCATTGCTGTTTTTAATACACATTTGCTAACTTATTAACTGCATTCAGTATAAACTTTTAAAAGTTGCTTATCATAACAGACTAAAATATTTAAAAAATAAAACCTTAACTGCATAAGGAAACTCAGCCTTAAGATCTGAGCAAAGATCTAATCAATGCCAGTGAACAATAGAACTAAATTTAGCCAAGCAGCCTAGGCAGACACCAAAGCAGTTCCTATCCAGCAGGTAATATCTCTGAGACTTCTGTTCCACTGCTAAGTTTGAATTAAATTGGTTGATGAATTCAAGCATAATAGTAGGAGGAAAGAGATGAGGTACAGAAATACACAGGCTCACACAAGCCTTGCTATTTTAAGAAGCTAGGCTAAAAATAGACACAACGTGATGCTTCATTAGGCAGTTCTAGTATCCAGAAAGAAAACAAAACAAAACAAACAACAAAAAAAGGTGCCTTAAATAATTTGTAGTACCAGTAAAGGAAAAGAATAACTGTTATCTTCTATTGATTGAATGTAAACGCGGTCAGTTTTGTTTCAATTTCCACACATGTACTACTGATTGCGTGGCACAGTATTTGATTTTTCCCTCCCTTTTTACCTGAATTGGAAATTTTTCCATTGTCAGCTGTTCCTGCGTTTCCTGGAGCAACAAACACTTGCTTTACATGTGGGGACTGGGCCAGCTTCCAGGCCAGCGCATGCTCTCTCCCTCCACTGCCGATGACAAGCACCCGATCAGCCATTAGCCTGTGCAAACCCAAAGTCATCAGGTATAGTTACCTATTTATTTCATAAACCCATGTAAAAATAAGCAAAAAATGTATTAAAAAGATGGTAAGTAATATCACTCCACTTTGTATCAGAAAGGTATCTATAAGACATCAGAACACAGTGACTGCACCAGTAGCATCACTGGATGGCTGCAGCATTCATATTTTGGTTTAAATACTGACCACAATGAAATCATTGAGAGTTCTTCCACTTGTTTCAGCATAGTCAACATGTCCTCTCCTAAGTAGTCAGGCTGAAATAATCTTGTCATGACCTGGTCTCATCATGTCCTTCGCACGACCACACAGAACAGAACAGAAAGCTTCATACACATGCTCTAGGTAACTTACCAGATATTTCAAACTGAACACCCTGGTCAATCCAGGAACTTTCATGGGTGTAGTAAACATGTTCAGTAATAAACAGCAAAGACAGTTTTCAGAACAGATTTTATACTTTGACAATTGCTAAGAGGGTAACTTGAGCAGAACAGCATGCCCAATAAAAGAACAACTGCTAATTTCACTACCACACTGACATTTAAATCAGTTCCTCCGTAATATTTCTAGGCAAATTAGTTTTGATTTATTTCAGAAATATTATCATACCCACCACAGTTCACATCTGCAAACTTAATTTTTCTGCATGTGCTGAGTGTAGACAAATGTCACAAAGAAAAACAATCTCAGCACCTGACCTTTAGGGAAGATGCTATTGGCATAAACCAGTCCTTACCCAGGAAATTGATAATAAATTGAAGTCACCATAAAACAACAGCTTTGCAGGCAATGTCATCAGTCTTTTCCCAGGAAATCATGACCATTGGTTTGAGTTCATTAAATAGCTTCCAAAGGCAAACAGAAGCTGTGTGCCACTGAGGTATAATATTTCAGAAAAGATGTTCACCGAACTGCATGCAATACATCAACAACCATGTTCCTAGTTCCCGAGACAGTATTAAGATGCCCTAACCTAACATCAACAAAAAGAAAATTAACTTTAGATATTTTCACTAGTTATTAAATTGCCCAAGTACAATATAAGTTCTTCAGGTACACTGTCCCAGGGAATTATCGACTGCTGGGGATTATCTAAGAGACTGTTAATCTTGTTCCTGGCAGAAAATCTAAGTTTTAGGTATTGCATTCTATGCATGTAAACACAGAGCATATCCTTAATACTCTATCAATTACCAGACCCACGTCCTTGAACAGACTTTTTTTTTTTTTTTTTTTTTTCCCTTAATACTGGGTAACTGTGCAATATGTCAGCCTTTGTCTGTTGTTACTGCTTGACAAATAATTCTGGAGTCACAAGGAAGGTGCCGTGAGCTTAAAAGAAAAGGGTTACAACCTCTGTATCTATAACAAAGACATCAACATGATCTCTACAAAGTGTCACTGGACATTATGGTTATTAGTAAAAAGCAAAGTGTCTTTAAAAGCAAAACTATTTTTCCCTTACATATAATTTCACAATTCACCAAAGTTTTATTCAGCAGAATAAATTCAAATTCCTAACTAGAAACACAGTGAAACCAAGCAAGTGCCTCTTATCCTGTAGAAAAAATGTACATTTCCATTTCACATTATAGTGAAGACATTAAAAATGTTTTTTTGCAAAACAACTTGAATGCATGCTGGATGAAAAGAAAGCCGGTAAGACAGACAGTCCTAGAAGAAAGGTTGTGGAGAGGGATGTCTCACTTGAATCATCTACCCTTACCGTGTCAGACCCTGCAGTTTGTTCACACAAAAGGCTGAGGAGTCCTCCAGATGGATTTGAGTTCTTCCTTCTGCTCCTGCTTCAGATCCAAATGACTTTTGACTCCTAAAGCCAGGGAGAGGCTGAAAGAAGCAGACAGACCTGCATGCTGCCCCGTCCCCCCTTATGCTGTCTGACAGTAGCCTGGCTGAATCGCCTTAATGCCACCTGCTCTTCGAAACAGACCTCCCCAAAGACTTCAGCAGTGTGGACTAGTTCTCCTCTCTTTCCATTTTTCTTTAGCTAATGACAAAAACAACTCCTCCCCACCAATCAGTCCTACAATGTTAATAGCATTCAACGCTTAAAAAATAGGTTACAACATGATACCAAAAGCTGAGATCATTGCTCAGTTCCCATGTTGTTAATAACAATACTACGTCCTCTAAAAAGTGATAAAATCTCAAAGACAACTTGTAAAAATAAAACATAGCTTTCATTGTCTACAGTTAAACAGAAATATTGCAGTTAAAAGCAGTGCACAACTCCCACAGATCTATTCTCTGCAATAACATATATCATCAGATTTATATGTAAGGTTATTTTAATATTTATCACATACTTGAATTGTTTCCCCCTTAATTACTATCCATTTTACCTTCAGAAGAAATTTAATAGAAGCATCATCAAGGATAATATTTTATTCTCTACCAATTTCTACGCCATTCTCTTCAACATCCTAATCCTTTCATGGCAGTATCTGAAGTCATTCAGTTAACACTTGACAAGCTTGCAATGCCACTACTCATTACTGAAAACAAAATCAAAGTATGCCAACATAACACTAACCAGTATCTTTGTGTCTTCAAGTCAGGTAATGAGAAATAAAAAAATACATTAACAGAGAAACAAGCCATTTCTTTCACACCCCTAGAACAAATTTAAAAACAAATCCACAACATTTGTTTAAAAATTCCATGCAATTTATGACTTGTGTACTGTTGGACAGATGCTATACTTGAGCCTTCTGGTTTGTGGAGAGATGCATGCTACAGAACTCTTAAGCATCACGTAGCAAGTATTTGTAGACTTCCTTCCTCAGGTTTGCAGACTGTTTTACATGTTCTGTCTGTGACTAAACAGCAAGATACCAGAACTAGAGTCTTATTTCTTGTAAGATGAAAGGAGGATAAAATGTATCTCTCATTTGCAAGTTTTAGAAATTTGTTTTTATAAGACAGGATGTATGATGCGTTAAGTCAGAAACAGAATTCCTGCAGCCCTGAAACACCTCTCTCAAGACATAATCTAAACTTGTACTTGTTCCAGCTGGTCAATTTATAACGCAATTGTTTGTTCAAGTAATTTTCTTAGGTCATGAACTGGATATGCAGCAGAGAAAGACAACACACATAGAAACTTCTAATTTCAAAATCTGACTTTTACAGAAAGCAAATTTGAAATAAAAAATGGAGAAAACTGATTTCTAACAAAAATAAAAGATAACCTCTCTGAAATAATGTGTTTTAGTGTTATTTATTCACCAAGATGGCATAGTGGCAAAGCTGTAAGAGGAAAAGCAGAGTATAATGCTGGAAGCTGTAAAATTCAAGCAGACCACTCAATACTTTATTCTCTTCAAGCGTCAGTGACACCCCTTCACTGGCTGGATATGCAGTGTGCTCAACCATGTCCCATCAAGCACCACTAATTAAACACACAAGTTTATTTAATTACATATATATATATTGTTTTAATAATAGATGCTAGTGCTCAGAAATAGGAAACAAAATTTGCCTTCTGCCTACTGGACTTTTACTACGTGCACCTGGGCGTCCCTTCCAGCCTATGTACCTCAATGGTTGTGGGGCCTGGGGTTTTGTTAGTTGAAGCCCCACTGGCTAGCAAGGAAGAGGTATCAACAAACCCACCAGACGCCACAGCCCCTCCAGCCTCGCAGCTGGCCTCACACAGCCTTTTCTGGCTGTGAACATCCCAAACACCAAACTGCGTTACAGGATGCAGTGTGCGCACTGTGGAAAACCACTCATTTACCAGGGGGGGAAGGCTGTTTCACAAGCCTGGGAGAGAAAGCCTCGACAGAGACACTTGCCATCTACTATTGGGGATTCACTCAGGAGAACTAAGGCTGAAAAGGGGCTGAGACCTACAGGTGTTTGTGTAACATAACCCCACAAAAACCAAATCCGCAGCTGTGGACGCGCGGCCGCCATTTTGTGGCTCTCGCACTGCGCATGGCGCCGGCAGGCAGCCGGCCGGCGGCCCTCGGGCTCCCCTCGCCGGTGAGCCCAGGGTGAGGGCAGGCGGCCGGGGAGACGTCCTTGGGCGAAGGGCAGAGGGGCTGCCGCCCCCCGGGCTTTCCTCGGTGGTGCTCTGCAGCCTTCGGGTGTGCGGTGCTGTGAGGGGAGAAGGGGGGGTAATGGCGGGTGGGGGGGTGAAACGGGACGCGCCTGCGCTGTGGGGAGCCTCCGCCCGCCCGACACCGGGTGGAGAGGGGGGGGGGGGGCGGAAGGAGCAGGGAAGGGGTCAGCCTCTGGGGAAAAGGGGAGCGTTTTTTGGGAAAAGGGGGGTGCTTTTGGGGCTCTCCTGTCACCAGGGTGTGTGTGGAGAGAGCGGGATTTGGGCCCCCTGGGGGGGACCTTGTCCTTGTCACCCTGCTCAGCCCTGTGGGTCGCAGCACGGTTGTATCAGCTGGGGAATGAAAACCACCCCCTGGCCCTGTAACAGCGTGAGGAGAGAGCTGTGGTGCTAAATGGGGTGATCTCGTTGGCAGGGCGAAGGTCCTGGTGGTGAAGGTTCTGGAAGCGAAGCCCCCTCCTCCAGGCCCATGCTGCTGTAGGACAGATCGGACGGTACGGTGGGTGCTTTGCCGGAGCGCTGGACGTGAAGCGACATCTGTGGTATTTCACCTCGTTCCTGTGCAAAGTGCACCCCGAGTTTAGGAGAGTGATGCTGCTTAGGTGTGTTTTTAATGAGTACTGTCTGAATCAAAACAGTTCTGCTCGTATGTTCAGGTCTTACTCGATCCTTTACAGCACTGTTTGGTAACAGCCCCTGACCCAAGATGTGTTTCCAGTTTCAATAGTTTTTTAAGCACAACTGGGGTAAAGTCAAATTAATGGATTTATGAGAAATTATGCTTCCAATCACTTCGAATTTCAAGTGTGTATTCACTGACATTCCATTTAAGTAGTAGGTATGTGGATTTTATGGCCGTATAGAACAATGATGATCTTTGTCAACCACCTACACAGAGAGAAAACAATGTCGTATATACCATTTGATGTCAGTAATATCCATTATAAAAACCAGAAGCATGATAATTTCATACCTTACCTGTATCAAAATCAATTGGAAACATTCATAGTAGATCCAGTCTTTCATCCAGTCCCACACTGATCTCCTTTCCCTTCCCTTTCCAGAAGGATTAGTGCAGAAAGGCAGTTTGTTGTATGTAGAACACACAAACATTATTCATTACTTTAACTCAAGTTAACCTTGGTTTAGTCCAGTTTCCTCTCTGGAAAGGAAGTTACCAAATGATCTGTTGCAACCAGTGGTGAATCTGTAAAAGGAGACTCTTTTTAGGCACGATCAGCATATGTGGCCTTTGTCTTTGAACTTTTCATCAATGAAGAGTAGTTAGCTGATTTCTGTAGGGTATATCTTTCTACTTTTGGTATTTTTTTTTATATGAAGACATACTGTTGTTTGCCAAAGGTGTTCTTTTGCTGTTTCCCAAAATTACTCAGAAGCACTGGTATTCCTGACAGAACGAGACATTGCCTGCTACTGATGTCTTCCAAGTTCCAGATGCATAACCTTACGTAGCACAAAATAAGGAGGTTGGCTGCTAGGATTTGTGAGCCCTCCTGGGATACAGTAGTTTATCTGAACACAGCTTTGGTTATTACTATTAAAAAAAAAAAGCCAAGGGGGTAGTTTAATGAAATCTTTAAGAATGCACCCAGTAGTAGATTGTGGGGCATTCATATATGTGAAGAGAGAATTTGGTTGACAACTGGACGAAGCTGTGTAGAGGAAGGGGGAGATACTTGCTTCAGCAGAGTTACTGCTCAACAAAGCACATTTCCAGTTTATGTTGCACTGAGTTTGCAGGAAGGCAATAAAGCTTTGACCTTTCGGGAAGTAAGCAGTACAAAACAAACCTATGCTGCCAGGAGAAAGCTGTATTGTGCATTTTCATTTACATTGTAATACTATTTCTGTAGTAATCAACAACAAATTCAGAATTCTGTGTTAGTCTGCAAAAGAAAGTACATTGTAGACTGTTGTGAAATTTTGTAGGGATTTCTTTAATGTAACAAGTTAAAGATAAGAGTTTAACAAATCATCTAAGTTCTTTTAAAAAGCATATTTATTAAAAAATGTGTTTATAGGTCACTGTTTATAATGTAGCTGCATCTGAAGAACTAGGAAGTGGCTCTGTGTCATGCTGGCTAACACCACAGGGCATTGTTTAACAGCACATCAAGCCATGATTCCAAGAATCCTGAAGCCATTTCCCTATATGTGTGGCAGTCGAATGCTGTCGGGTTACAAACCAAAAAGCAATGTCAAGGACTCGTACAAAATTCTTGAGCTTGAGGAAGGATGCTCCCTTGATGATATCAGAAATTCGTATCGAAATCTTGCCAAAAAATACCATCCAGACAGCGGTTCCAGCACGGCAGATCCAGAAGCATTTATTAAAGTAGAAGACGCGTACAGAGTTGTGCTCAGCGATGTGGCAAACAAAAAGAAATCAAAGGAGAATAAGGAAGAGGAGGAGGAGGACCAGTTCAAAACAAAAGCACCGCAGCACAGACACTACCTGAGTTTTGAAGGCGTTGGTTTTGGAACACCAAGCCAAAGAGAAAAGCAGTACATGCAGTTTCGAGTGGACCGTGCTACCGAGCAGGTGTTGGAATACCGAAAGCAGAAACTTGAAAGCCAGTACGTCGCCACTGACCTCATGAGAGCCAAGGATGTGAGAGAGAGCAAGAAGGTGAAGATAACTCAGGCAGTTGAACGGCTGGTTGAGGACCTCATCCAGGAATCAATGGCAAAAGGAGACTTTGACAACCTCAGTGGGAAAGGAAAACCTCTGCAGAAGTTTTCAGACTGTCCGCATATCGATCCTATGACTCACAACCTGAACAGAATCCTGATAGACAACGGGTACCAGCCAGAGTGGATCCTGATGCAGAAAGAAATACGGGAAACTATCGAGCGATTAAGGAAGGGTCTAGTGGCATCTCGAAGTAAGCTCGGAGAGCCAATGACGCCGTACAGGCAGAAGCAGTGGAATCGCATTTGTGAGCAATTTATGGAGGATATCAGGAAACTGAACAAAAGAATTGACAGCTTCAATTTAGTCGTTCCTATTCTGAGCAGGCAAATGGTGCACTTCAGTGCAGACAAAGAAATCCTTCGAGCACAAAAGACTTACAAAGCTTTGATGGAAAACAAAGAAGCTTCTGATTCAGACACAAAGGAAGAGGAACAGGAAAATGTTAAAAGGTTTGGGTGGAAGTCTTCTCTATTTAAGTGGTTAAACCTTACATTGAAATAAGGTAATATTAACTCATCTGTCTTGTCAAGATTCTGGATGCACTTTATCACTAAAACTTGTAGCATCAGAGAAATTTCAGATACACTGAAAATGTAAAATCCGCCTGTCTACCTGGCTATCATTACACCAGTTAAAAGGAATTGGGCTGTCTGATGTTAAGTTAATGGATTTCTTTGTGACTACTGTTAAGGAACAAATAAACTCAGTTATCCTTCAGCTGATTTTACTTCTGATTAAATCAAAATCAATGCTCAACTTTTCGACTGTGGAATATAGTTACTTTACAGTACTGTTATTGCTTCATAAAGTGAAACTAAGGCATAACAAAACACATTAAGGACAAAGTAGAAGTAAAACTTATTGTTCCCTGTAGTTTGGCCTTTATCCTTCCTTACCTAAATGCTCACAGCTGATACATTGTTGACAGGTTTCATGTGTGTTTTTTTTTTTTTCCTAATACGTTAATTTCTTTAAGGTTACATTAAATGGGGATGGAGGGATATCTGGATGTAGATTTGGACTGTTCATTCTGCTGAAGTCTATTTTTGTATCTGGCTTTTAGCATACAAGGAAGTTTCAGTATCGTAGCAAATAAGGAAGACTGGCCAAAACTATACCCCAGCCACAAGGCTTCTTGGAATTGAGACGGGAATATTAATTTTTAAACATAATTGCTTGCACCATTTAAATATTTAAAATTTCACAGAATAAATAATGGTGGCATCAAAGAATTTATTGTGAAATGTTGCTGTCCTATTAAAGTTTTGGGGCAGCGGCTCGGAGGGTGTCAAAGTCTCCACAGTGCCTTGTATTTATTTATGTTTAGTAACCTCTCCGCTCCCCACCCAGTCTGATTTTCCCGGAGGACTTTGCCCTTGAGAAGGTGTCACTGGATGTACGGTATCTGTGTGGGCCCCTTTCTCCACTCCTGCCCCCGTGACTCAGACCGTCGCTGTCTCCACCTGCACAGTTGTGCTGTGCCTGTTGGTCGGGTGGGAAGGCGTCCCATGGGCGCTGGCACGCCACGGAGGGGAAATTTCCAGCTCAGAGGCTCAGAAGTTAAAGCTAGATAGTGATCACAACCACCACCCTTTGGCAGATGTCTCAGCACCAACGGAGTCTGAATTCATGCGTTTGCGTTTGGGTGGGTGGCGCTGCTTGTGCTCCTTCTGGTCGTTGTGCTCTGGCTCTTCTTGGTGAGGTCCTCGTGTGCAGGCAGAACATTATTTGGTGGTAGAACGGATCAGTTGAAGTATAATTACTAATAAATACACTTGCATGTAATTTACTGGTAAATGCTATTGAAGTGTTTTAGAAAGTAGAATTAATCTCGGCTTCCTATAACATCTCTTTTCATAGGAATTCAGGTAGCAAAGGCAAAAAGTGCAGACATCTGTTGTGTTAAAAGATCAGATTTTGATTCTCATTATGTTCTACGGGAATGAGAACTGAATTGCTGGTTAAACTAATCTAGCGACAGATTAAGAAGAGTTAATTGCAAATCAAAGTCATTGCACAAGTCTAAATGGAAACCCCGTTCCAATAAATCCAGCTCTGATGGAATCTGGTTTGGCTCACGATGGAGATGAGTATCAGCAGTTTAAATATTTAAGTTGCCATAATGGATGAGTCAGCGTGCTGGGTGATTTTTATGCTCCTTTTAAAGCTCCTCGCTTTTAAATGGAGTGGATGCGACCTGACTCTCAGCACTTTCAGTCAGCCTCGTGCTGCTGTCGGGAAGAATTGCCAGGCACAAAGTCTTCTTCATCACTGCTTAGTGATTAAAAAACACAGATTAAAAAACTCCTCTAATTTTAATTTTTATTGGTCCCAGACGAGGGAAGGGGGGTATTTTTGCAAGGGGGTTGTATTTTCCCCGTGACTCTGAGGTGACCAAGATGCTAAGAGCCGCGTGTGGGTGGTGCTTCTGGAACCAGTGCCGCCTGCAGACCAGAAAACCCCACGACGGCGGCCTTCAAAACTTATTTTTCTGCCTGACGCCGCATTGTTAGTTTGAATTTGATGTCTTAGTGCTGACTTCAGAAGGAAAAAAAGTGCATAAACCGCCGATTTCGGACACAAACGCGCGCTCCTCCCGGGCGGGAGCGCGCTGCTCCCCCTGAGGCACGGCGCTGAGGCGAAGGGGGAGGGGCCGCCCCCCGCCCGTCACCCAGCCCCGCCCCCTCCGCTCTCCCGCGTGGGCCGCGGCGCCGCCCAATGGCCGCCTCCCCTTCCTCAGCCCGCCTCCGGCGGCGCGCGGCTCCGGCTCCCCATTGGCTGGCGGCCGCGTCGCTCAGCGCCTTCCCCTCGCGCTCCCGCCCCGCCTCCGGCAGCGGGCGGAAGAGCCCGGCGCGGCGCGGCGGGTACGTGCGGCCGTTGGGCGGGGGGGGGCGGCCGTGAGGGGCCGGGGCGGCCGGAGCTCTCCTGAGGGGGCCGGGGGCTGGCAGCGCGCCCCCACGGCACTCTGAGGGGCTGGGGGGCCGGTGCTGGCGGTACCGGAGCGCCGTGAGGGGAAACTGAAAGCGAAACTGCGCGGGGCTGCCCGGGGGGTGCCTGTGGGAGGCCGGGGGGCGGCCGCAGGGTGCTCAGCCTGCCCCGGCCCTGCCCCGGCCCTGCCCCGGCCCCTCAGGGAGCGCGAGGCCCCGCGCTGTGGCAGCGGGGGGCTCCTGGGCCCTGGTGCGCCGTGAGGCAGCTCCCTCTGGGCTCGCTTTGTGTGTTTCTTTCTGTGCTGCCCTGCCGCTGTTGTAACATTTTGTCCAACGCCGTTGGCTGAGTGCGTTTCAGAGAGCGGCTGGCTCAACTTTCTGGGCTCAACTTCGCGTGTGGTACGTTGTCGCTCTGCTTCGTTCGCCTAAATAACGTGCTGCTACCCCTAACCCCAGTTCTGCAGCCTGCCAAGTGTTGTTTCTACGGTTTATAACCGCCCTTGTCACGTTTCACTCACCAGTTCGTTCTTGCCAGTGTTCTTCTTGTGTTTCTGTTTATTGGACCTGAGAAATGCTTCTTGAGAGCCTGTCTGCCCGCAAGAGGAAAAGGGGAGGAGACAGATCATAGGAAGGGCACCAAAGGACAGCTAATGCAAGGGGCTCGCTTGTTTTCTTGCTGTGAAGTAGTGGAGGTAAAAGTTTAAACCCGGAGAGTGAGTTTCACACCTGTATTCAGGTAAAAAAAAGTCCAGCCCCTGTCTTTGAGAACTTGAAACCATCCTTCTGAAAATTCATCAGGGTTCTGTCCATACAGAAGGATATATTTGGGTTAAACCCCGTGTCTGTGCCACATTAACCTGTCATCTTCAGCCTTGCTGCTGTGATTTTGGTGGAGACTCAGCTTCGCAGTGCCACGGGCCTTTTGTGGCTGAGGTGCAGCTTATAGTTTCCTTCCTTCCTTCCTTCCCTGCTGCTGTGTTGAGAAGCGTACACCGCAGACCGAGCTGTGTAGCAGCTCGCTGTTTGCTCAGTGACTTGTGAGCGGGTGGCCAACCTGTCGCACTCAGGCTGGCTCTGCACTCTCAGTCCCTTCCAGCACGTCTGCAGTGCTCTTTGCTTCCCCCTCGCCTCCGCCATGGGGAAGTTGTTGGCTGGACCTTGGGCTGGTTGAATTGCCCCAGCACCCTGCTTCCTGACGTCTGTTGTTCCGAGAAGCCCGCAGCCCTTACTCATCATTCCCTCCGTCGGGTGCACGGTCGGTCAGGGATGGCCACGTCCTCTTGCAGAGTAACCATGCTGCTGCACGAGGCTGGCATTCAGTAACTCAGGAAGAGGTGGTGTTATCACCAGCCGTGTATCTGCAAAGTCTGTACACAGAGAATAGAATCGTAGGGAGCTATCGGAGAGAAATGCTTAATTATATTTACTCTTAAGTGGGGTTCTCTTGAATTACTAATATGAAAGACTCTGCTGCAGGATTGTGGACAGCATCAGTTAATGTTTAGATCGTACTATAAAAAGGTCAGTGGCGTTACCTCTTCTGCTCCCCATTGCTGCTGGCTGTACTCCTGCAGTAAGCTTTCTCTGTGAAATCGCAGCTTGTTTCTAGCACTAGACACATGTAGAAATCATTCTGGGGTTTGTCTGTATCCTGTTGCAGGTTCTCCGTGCCGTGTATCTCCATGCTTGCCATTCCAGTGAAACAGGAAAATTGTGTAGTCGGTTACACATCTTTGCTGTAGAAAGGCTGCCAGCAGATAGTGTTTATCTCATCTAGTCACGCTATCTTGGGTGCTTCCCTTCTGAGCACAGAGAGGAGATTAAAGCAAAGTGCAGGTTTGGGAGCCGGTGTCAAGCACCAAAAATACAACGTTGATAAAATAAGATGCTTTGGCAGAAGGCTGTCCTTAGAAAGTATTAAACAAACAAACCAAAACCAAACAAAAACAAAACAAAAAACCCCACAACTTTGTACTAGTCTCCCTAGCTCCACTAATTTTGTCACTAATGCGGTTCTGAAAAGTCCATTTGATACCCAAGACAATTAGGTGTTGAGAAAGGTGTTGTGTCAGACTTTTGAAGTGAGCAAAACGCCTCTGTTTTGTCACCCAGTGTTTAAAAACCCTTAACATCGTTGCACAAACCTGCCTTTATGATTATCTGTGATGTTTATCATCGCTGACTTTGTAAAGCTGAAGGGGTCTTAGGATCGATGCTAGCTGTATTTTTCGTGCGCAGGAGGATGGTTTCACTGTTTTAGCTGACAAAACAAACTCGCTAACCCCTTTAAGTCACAGAAGGCAAAGATTGGTTTTGTTTCGTGTCAGCCTTTTCATCTGGAGCATTTTCGTAGCGGTAAAAAGATTTTTTTCCTGCAGCTCTGTGAGAACGATCCAGGCTCTTTGTTGAGGATCATAGGATCACGGTGAGGCTGAGGCTGGCAGGGAGCTCTGGAGGCTTTTGGGGATGCCCAAGGAGGGAGATGCCACAACATGGTTAGATGTGTTAATGCTGTTTAAACGCTCTGTTACAGGAAAAACTGGGGGAAAATATGGCTTTGCTCACTCCGAAAGTGACAAAAGTGTAATTACAAGCAAGACAACACCGTTGTTAGTGTTTGTGTCTGTTCAGTGGAGGAAAGAACAGTGTGGTGCATTTGTCTAGGTGTTCACTCCTGCTTGTGGGCAGCCAGACCGCAGGGTGAGATCCGTGCAGCCTGCAGCGATGGGAGCCGTGAGCTGTACCCCACTGTGGGTGACCAACTATGGGAGGAAGAGAGGATTACTGCGGGATGAGCTGGGGATTACTGCACAGCGAGGTAACGCTTCCTGGGACTGGTGAGAAACAAACGGAGTGAGTAGGGAACCCTTTGGAGAGGAGAAAAGAAGTTAGGGCTGTGGCAACAGCTGTAAATCTGTGTTAGGACAGCACGGCAATTCTGTGTGACAGCTGCAGAAAGAACAGGAATTTGAGAATTGCTAGGTGAAAGGGTGATCTAGGAGAATAACTGTAGGGTTGGGCCCAGATATTTGACAGGTGCAAGGTAACTTTGGGACTGGTTGATTCTAATGCTTCAAGGTAGCATCATAACCGTGGATGGATTTCTGGCAGTAGGTTCAGGGGGACAGACAAGTTTTATATTTATTCATAGGAGGTGCCCTTTGTTTGTAGGATGGGCAAACTTAAGCGTGGCTGTGAGCCACTGCTAAGCAGAAAACAGTAAATATTCCAGCTTCTGACACTCAGACTACATCCGTTAACTGTCTCAGTGTGCAAACAGCGGTAGGGTAGCACAGAACCTGTTA